TGTAATTTTTACTTCCTAGATGTAATTATTGTCTTTTAAATTAAATTTACCCTTTTTGTAATTAAAATTAGGGCTTAGGAAATTTTCTGTCTCACATTCAAATACTTATGATTAGAGCTTTTATTTATTTATTTTAACATTTCTAGTTAACATTCTTCAGTGGATCTTTGAAAATTAAGAAGCATGGTTAGGGAGGGAGGGAGGGGGGCAAAAAAATCAATAAAATATATTAAAAAAAAAAGAAGCATGGTTAACATGTATTATTACATTTTTCAAGATTAGAAAAAGCTGGTTAAATGCCATATTTTGTGAATGCACAGTATTCACACACTTTGAGAGTACATAGTTACTGTGGTATCACATTCTACACTTACTTAGCTCTAGCCTTCCCAACTCAAGTGCCCAGAAATCCCAGGCCATGACTAGATATAAACTAAACAAACACTTTGAGCTAGCCATAAGCTGCAAAATACTGGTACTGGCTTTAGGGAAGATAAAGGTGAAGCCACTGACTCCTTCATATGCTGATCAAGTACAAGGTGTTGATAATATGAAACAAACTCCCTTCAGACAAACTACAAAGAGTCTATTAATTTAGGAGTTGTTTTCTAAGAAACTTATGTGGTTTTACAAAATAGATTAAGTTGTAATAATGTCTAAGTACAACTGTGATCCAAATAAATGTGACCATTTGTCATAATAAAAAATTATTGTAAATTCCTAATATTACGAATCAATTCAAATTAGTGACACTTGTGCAGTTTTTCGTAGAAGGTAATTCAAAGTGTGAGATATATACCAGGTTCTTTTCATTTTCAACAAAATTATATTATAGGCAGTAACTATAAATAAGAGATGACAAATTAGTTTCAGGAAACTTGGAAGAAGTAAGAAAATCTGTTCAATTATAGCTTCTTTTTTTGGACTGGAATAGGACATCAAGTAGAATAAAATGCAAGCAGCCTCAATAATTTGCACATCAGCTAACTAGGTGATGAGTAACAACCTTTCCTTTATATTTCTACTTGTATAAAAACTGCCTTTCTTACCTGGAAGAAGTATGACTGTAGAGGTTGATCCTTATTTTCTTCATCCACATATAGTCCCCCTACCACATATACCTGATTTTGTTGGGTAACGATGCTGGAATGATTTCTGGGGATCTGTTCAGCCAAGGCCGTAAGGTAGCATTCATTTTCTGTGGGGTCATAAGCCACTGCGGCCGTGTCATTAACCAAGAGGATGAGATCTTTGACAAACATCCCATGCCTGGGAATGTCATTCAGGTAGCCAGGAAGTAAATCTTCATCACCGACATCTCCGTTCACCTCACCATCCCCAGCCTTCTCTGCATTTTTGCTAGGTTCTGGAAGTTTGCCTGCGAAAGCATCTTTGAGAACTTTGATTTTTTTCTGGAGTTCTGGGTTGCTTTTAATGATATCATCTTTCTCAACGTGATCTTTGAAATATTTTTCCGTCATAAGGCGAAAACGGATGCAATCAAACACTTCGTTAAGGCTTTTAACTCTCTCTTTGTCTGTTCGCACCCATTTCATCACTGCCTCAAACACCGCTTCTTCCTTTTCTACATTGAGGGCGTCATTTGAAATGACTGAGATCAGTTCCTGTGGAGACAGCTGCATGAAGTCCTCTTCCTTACAAATCTGCAGAAAGCGATCAGACACAAACTCCCGGGCAGAGATGGCAAGTCTTGGGCAGTCAAGGAGAAGTCCTAGTCTTAGGATGGCTAGACAGTTCCCAGGAGCCAGTCTTTTCTGAAGGTAAGAGACACAGACAGTGAACACTGAGGGGATCTGAAAACGGCTGGCCAGTGCGAAAATATCTTGCACGTTTCCATCGTTGAGATCGATGCTTGCGGAGTAGAGGTACTTGATGATGAGATCCAGGATGGCAGAATCCACATTGTCTAGCACTACCTCCTTTTTTTTCGCCTCCTCGATGTCAGATAAAAAATACTCACGGAAGTAAGGACTACACGCTGACAAAATCAATCTGTGGCACGGGATACTTTTGTCGCCCGCTTTCAGGGTGCAGTCGATGAACTTTTTCTCATCCAGGAGATCTCTCAGACCATCCTGAAGAAGGGTGGACTGGTAAAGCCGCAGTTCCTCTGCGAGTTCCCGCTGGGACTCCATGGTGTGAGTGACCTGGGTGAAGAAGGGGACACTGAAGGCCTTAGCTCCGCGCAGCACAGAGGTCTAGCTGCAAAAAGGCAGAGCAGTGTGCTTTGCCCAGCCTGGAGCCTTTGCAATTTAATCCCACCGGCTAAATATAGATACCAACTCCAACAACGGGAATTTAAGGGGAGCTGGTTTGGAAAGAAGAGTGGTTCTTGCAGCTGTTAGAGATGGAAAGGAACAACTGAAACCTTTTTATTACGAAGGAAACTGCTCAGAAACAGATTTAAATGGAGTGGAAAGCTCTAAAATACACAAAGCATTAGAAGGTGTGCTAATAAAGGCTACCACAAGAAAATGTTTATTGAATTAACAGAAAACTGAATCATAAAAAATGAGTCAGTCCACTAAAAATGGGCTGGTGGCAAGCTACTTAATTATCTGAATTAATCATGCAAAGGTCAAGAATATGAGGTGAGTTCATTTCAATACTCAAGCAAGATCCCCTTTCCAATAACTGTTACCAAAGTTTTATTTTCAACTTAAAACAATGTGGAATATACTTTTCTTTTAGAAACAGGAAACTTACAGACTTCTACTTGTGTTCTATAATTATAGTTGTTTTAGAAAAACATTAAAAGTGATATCCTCATCATAAATGAAATAAGAGAAACTGCAAATTTTCTAAGATATTCTAAATTATCTTTGTTAAATGGAAAAAGTATAATTGGTATTGAATTGTTATAAAATTATTTTATTCACACCCTGCCTCACTCTACATAGTATTTGGTGTGGCAAACAATAGCAATAAAACAAGTAAAATAAAAGCTATCATCAAGACCAAAAAGAAAAAGAAATAGTTTAAAGTTAACACTGGGGAAATAAACACACACAAAAAAAATTCGATCACTAAAGATATTCTATGATGTAAAGTGTTTAAGGTGATCTTTCATTAAAGAAAAAAGAACAGCTGTAACCACATGAGAACAATGTTATCAACAGAACAGAACAAAATCAGGGTGAAGTGCTACATCACCCGTATAATTTGGAAAACAGGTCTAATACATGGAAAAGAAAAAAAAGAATGTAGAAGTGGAACCATAATTTAAGCTTATTATTTTAAAAAAATATATATTTTATTTATTTCTTACAGAGAGGAAGAGAGAGGGATAGAGAGCTAGAAACATCAATGAGAGAGAGACATTGATTAGCTGCCTCCTGCACCGCCCCCACTGGGGATGTGCCCACAACCAAGGTACATGACCGGAATCGAACCCGGGACCCTTCAGTCCGCTCTATCCACTGAGCCAAACTGGTCTCGGCAATTTAAGCTTATTATAATAGAACACCATATTAATTATGGAATGCAGAAAGCATGACTTGAAAGAAAATTGATCTTTTCTTATAAACAGAACATCGTATACTTATGAAATACTACAAAATTATATTGTCACATTTTCTGAACTCAGTATCATAGAAATACTGTAATATCAATGATTAGCATTTTTTTCTCTTTAAATAATATTTCATTTTGCAATTACAACTGATGTGAAATATTATATTAATATCAGGTGTACAACCCTGTGATTAGACATTTATATAACTTACAAAGTGATCACTCCGATAAATCTAGTACCTGAGACTATAATTATTACATTATTGACTATATTCCCTACGCTGTACTTGACATCCCCATGACTATTCTGTAACTACCGATTTGTATTTCCTAATCTTTTCACCCTTTTCACTCATCCTCCCAATTCCTCTCCCATCTGCCAATCATCAAAATGTTTTCTATCTATGAGTCTGTTTCTGTTCTGTTTATTTATTTTGTTTTTTTAGATTTAAGTGAAATAATCTGACATTTGACTTTCTCTGTCTGACTTATTTCACTAGCACAATACACCCTGTTGCAGATTTTTTTTTCATATTCCATTGAATATATGTACCACTTGTTGGTATTCTTAAACATGCTCAAAAGAACATAAGCTCCATGAAGACAGGGAATTGTTTTTTTTTGGAGGGGGTCTGTGTGTTATTTTGTTCAGTGCTATTGCTCCAGGGCCTTGTGGTGCTCCAAAAATATTTATTGAATGAAAGAATGCCTTCAGATAAGAGAATTACGTATTTTTAAACTTCAAGATCTCTATCCATGAGTAAAGGTTTTTTCTCTTATTTACATCATAGTGAAGTCAGTGGTACTGTCAGCTGCTAAAACAACAGCTGAAAGAAGAGCTCATTGACTCTTTTTCCATTTATAGATGCCACTAAGGTTTTAACACACTAGGAAAAACTAACAGCTGCTCCCTTACTTAAACAATAAATGACTCATTTCTCTCTACACGTACCACCTAACATTTGAAAAGATCGAGTCAGATACAAACACCATGATATGATATTTGAGTATTCCTTACTAGCTGATAAGTTTATAGTCACTTTTGCTTGAAAAACTATTTAAACAATATTCCTGGTAGCATTTGTGACCTTATAAATTTTTTCAACAACCATTTTCCCCCCTTAATATTGGTTATCATATAACCCCACTCCATAAAATGTAGGAATCCTTTCCTATTTAAATAAAGTATTTGATAGGTTTTATTCATTGTTTTTATTAGACGCAAGTCAGCTCTTGGTTGAACCTTATCTTAAATGTTTTTACATGCTTATTCTGTTCCCTCTAGAGAAAGAGGGTTTCTTTGGCTAATTTCAATGATTTGACAAAGGTTCCTAATGACGCTTCTTGATACAAAGCAGTGGCCAAAAGCACTGAGGCCAGAGATGTCACCACAACTTACCTAACCAAGAAATCAGAAAACTGATTTTTGAAAACTTCAAAGAAATTTAAATTAATACAAACAAAGATGAAGTCGATAAATGAACTATTTATTTATAAATTATTTTAAATTACTTACAAAATAAAATGTATTCTTGCCAAAACTATATTGAATTTATAAAACTGCTCAAAACTTTACATGGGGTTTGATATATTCCAGAGTTAGCTATAATTTTTATAGAAATGATAACTTAAAAATGACAACTTTAAGGGTTGTAATTTATATTAGAGTTTGCATAAATTATATTTAAATCATACATTTAAAGCAGATTTTTATAGTTAACAGTTGTAATTTGATTGCTTCATAAGAATAATCTTATTCTTTTAAACAATACATTCAAAACATTAAGTGCATAAAATTTTTTATTAAACCCAATGTGATACATTCATTTAATATCCACAGACTAATAGTTTACAAGTATTAGGAACAAAATAGACATATTTATAAACCGGATACATTTTCAAATATAATTTTTTAAAATACTGATGTTAAAGCATAAATGAAATTTTCTTCAATCACTAAAAAACTTTCTTAAAAACTTTTTTTGTAAATGTAAAAACTATTCCATGCCTTATAGAAGACAACTAGTATCTTTAATCTTGAGATATCTTTAAATAAAAATCCAGCTCAACTCAAGATCAACTCATTACTTCCCAAAGTCCCTGTAGGGTGAATCCATCCTTCAATTTCTCTATTGCAAGCCCCAGTTCTTCTGAAAATACAGGTTCACGATCTTGTTGCTTTTGGGGAGATAAGAGGATGAGATGGGAATAGAGAAGGTAGGCATGGAAGAGGAAAAAAACAAAAAATAGGTTTCACATAAGTTTGTGAATACTAAATGTTGGAAAATAGAAAGCATTTTTTTTATATGCTATAGGTAAAATATCCTTACCTTATTGCCATCAGCAAAATAAGCCTATAACATAAAGAAAATTATGTGACATAATATTATAATAGGTCAGTAAGCTAAGGAACAGGTAATTAATTTACAGAACAATTCTGTGACAATATATTTTATATTCTGTTACTATGTGTCTAATAATTTTCTTAATTATCTTACAATGCTGGTAGCAGAATTTGCTTTTTCTGTCTGTAATTATTATTATAATCAAGAGTTGTGCTTTAAGCTCTAAAAATTGTGCTTTGTTATTCATGTATAATTAGCATTGTTAAAAGATAAAAAGTATGACTTAGAGGGTAATGAAATATCATCCCTACTTTTTGTTTACAAGAAGATGGTGGCAAAACAAAACAAAGCAATCAGCAAATTCATAGAGTTTAGATAATAGTAGAAGTTTATAATTAAATATTTTATCCTAATTTCACATTTTTGTTTAGTAATATATGTTCTCAGAGAGGTATTCTGGTTAGACTTTTAGACCATAATATAAAGTAAGCATTATTATTATTTTGACTATTAATTACATAATACAAATTTAGAAACAGTAAAGTTTATTGTTAAAATGAATATTCATTTTAAGATAAAATACCTAAAAATTGAAGATAATACCTATAATTAGAAAGAACAGATATTAAATTAATTTAGCATTTTCTATTAATATGGAAAACTTTTCACAATTCTGAAATCTGAATAACTGTGTTCTCAAACTATTTCCCAGTTTGGTAATTAAAAAATATTTTCACACACACACAAAATCCATAACTTAAAAAAAAATTATACTCCAACTCATGTTTAAAATACTCTCAAAAGTCTCAAGTAAAACGGTATTTACATACTTAATCTATAATTTAATAAAACGTGACTCAATCACAAGAAACTGAGTAACCTCCTTTGTGATGCTCACCACAAAAGCGTCTGGGTGATCATCAGAGTCTATTTCTACATCATCTTGAATTTGTTCAACTGTCAGAGCTTCAAGAGCCTGTGGCTGAAAATCAGATGTTAAAATGCATTAAAGAGACAATGTTAATTAAACAATTTTAGTAAAATTTGCTGAGAATTATAAATTTGTAAAAGGATAACACAACTGTAAACTATTCAAGTCTTATAAAGTTCATTGTATAACATACTCTATTAAAACTAACTTGGGTAATAAAATAAGTCAGTTAAACCTAAGCTTTTAAATCTGAAATTGATAACATCAAAAGAATTAAAATGACAACAAATTTACACATCCTCAATATGGTATTCTAAAAGAAATCTTACAGATAGAATTATAAAATAATACAGATATTCTAAAAGAAAAAACTCTCATTGAACTTTATCTGATTTTCTTTCATACAGTTAAACAAAACAAAGTTTCCCCCCAAATAATCATTTAAGTAGAACCTGTGAAAAATAAAATAACTAAGTTTTGTAGGGAGTATTCTAAAAGTTAAAACATAATTTAATACTCATACTTACGAACTTGTTTTTCAAATACTTGAGTATCCTTGGTATATTAGGTACTATACTAGTGCTACCAAGGATTTAAAGTCCCTGACCTTAACCGAGAAAGGTCTGTAATCTAGTGGGAGGTGGGGTAAAGGATAAAACATAATTACAAATAACTAAGTATTAGGTTGAACCATCTGAAATTGCCATTTTTATTAGCTGAAAATGGTAAAATGTTACTAATATCATTGGTTTAACATATGAAAGTAGCTGTAACAAAAGCAATATCTATTATAATCAAAAAGTTTGGAGAAAGCACAACTTCTGAATTGTGAATCCCAGAAATTTTCATGACATAAAGGTCTTGATCTAGGGCTTTTAGGATGAGGGTGATATTTTTAGGGAGGATTAGGGGAAAGGGTATTTCTGGCAGAGGGGATCAGCATCAGCAAAGGTGAAAAATCACAGGATGTGGCTAGAGAATAATGAATAACCCATATGATCAGAATATAAGAGTTCCATGAGACAGAAGGAACTAAGTAGGGCTCTAGTATTGAACAACACTAGGGAGCATCATTCACACTAAAGTTCATGTGAACAATGTTCTCTAGAGTTGAACAGTGTACATGTACAACCAGACGCTGTGGCTGTGCAGATAAGGTGAGAAAGGCAGACTTAAATCTACTCAAATTCTTTAATATCAGCTCAAAAAACGTGGACTTTATTGATAGGTAATTTGGGGGGATGGTGCAGAGGGTAGAATGGTATTGCTTGACTAGAGAGTGAACTGATTTCATATTCTGAGATTAGCCTCAGTGTTTCAAGTATGTTCAAGCTGTGTGACTGTTACAAGTAATTTAACCTATCTAAGGTTTCCTTAACTGTGGATGAAGATGATAATATACGTCATAGTATTGTTGAAAGGATTAAATGAGATGATGCATACAAAGTTCTTAGAGCAGTGAATGGCAAACATGTGTTCAACAACTATGAATATTCACTAAGAATCTGTTATGTACCAGTTGAGACTGCTAGAGATATAATGGTTAAAGAAAACAGATCAAAATCTTGACTTCATGGAGTTTATTTATAGCAGAAGAGACTGATTAGTGTTACCAAAAATAAAGTAAGCAGAATGAGGGACAAAAAAGTGATGGGAGTTGCCATTTTATTTATTTATTTGTTTGTTTGTTTGCTTATTTGTTTACTTATTTAATGTTAACCCTCACCCAAGGATATTTTTCCCATTGATATTTAGGGAGAGTGGAAGAAAGAGGGAAAGACAGAGAAACATCGATGTTCAAGAAATACATCAATTGGTTGCCCCCTGTATCAGTCCTGATCAAGGCCCAGACCAGGGAGGAGCCTGCAACCAAGGTATGTGCCCTTAACTGGAATAGAATCTGAGACCTTTGATCCTCTGAGCCAAACCGGTTAGGGTGGAGTTGCCATTTTAGATGGATAGTCAGGGAAGACCTCCTTGGAGAGGTAGCTGGAGGAGGGATTTGTATGATGTGACAGAGTGAGCTATTATGGTAGGCTATTATATGTACTGGGGCCAAAGAAGGGGGAAGAGAGAAGTAATGGGTAGAACTAACAAGCCAAGTATCTCACAGGTACCAAGCATTTTATAGATATGATCAATAGCATTTTTATCAATAATTTAAAAAAAAATATATATTTTTTTATTGATTTCAGTGAGGAAGGGAGAGCGAGAGAGAAACATTAATGATGAGAGAATCACTGATCTGCTGCCTCATGCTGGCCCCATACTAGGGGTTGAGTTGAACTGTGTGACCTCCAGGTTCACAAGTCGATAGATATTCAACCACTAAGCCAGGCCTGCCGGGCTATCAATATCTTCTTTTGCTGTTTAGGCTATCAATAACTTTTAAAGAGATATTATCTTCATTTTATTTTTTTAATTAAAAATTTGTTTGTTTGCCGAAACCGATAGACCATCGGCCTGCGGACTGAAAGGTCTCGGGTTTGATTCCGGTCAAGGGCATGTACCTTGGTTGCGGGCACATCCCCAGTAGGGGTTGTGTAATAGGCAGCTGATCAATGTTTCTCTCTCATTGATGTTTCTCTCTATCCCTCTTTCTTCCTCTCTGTAAAAAATCAATAAAAAATATATTTGTTTGCTTTTTGTTAATCTTCACTCAAGGATTAATTAATTTATTTTCCATTAAATTTTTTTTAGAGAGTGGAAAGGAGAGGAAGGGACAGAGAGAGAGAAATACTGATGTGAGACACATTGACTATTGCCTCCTGCCATGTGCCCCACCTGGGGCCATGGACTGAGCTTGCAATTGAGGTATGTGCCTTTGACTGGGATAGAACCCAGGACCTTTCAGTCCACAAGCCGATGTTCTTCCCTCTGAGCCAAACTGGCAAGGGCATTATCTTCATTTTATAATAAGAAAACTGAAACTCAGATTTGCCTAGGATAAAAAATAGTGAAGTTAGGATTAAAGTTGGGTTTGTATGGAAAGGAGGAGATAAAAACAGGGAAGAGACTGGTATAATTAACTGAATGTGTAAAGTAAGATAATGGGAAAAAGCCCTGGCTGAGTAGCTTAGTTGGTAAGAATGTTGTCCCGAAATGCCAACGTTGTGAGTTTGATTCCCAGTCAGAGCACAGATAATAATTCAACCAGTGAATGTATAAATGAGTGGAACAACTCAACATTTCTCTCTCTAAAACAAACAAACAAACAAACAAACAAAACGGGAGAACTCCATGGTTTTGAGTACAGCCTACTTCGACAATGCTAAAGATAAATAGTAAATAAATAGATAAATCAGCAGGATGCTGCTTTTGAGAAACATGCTGCCATTTTAAGTATGCCAATTTTGAGATACTCAACCAAGTCTAGTGTATTTTACTGACTTTGAAAATTATTTACTTAAATTACTAAAATAAAATTTTAAATGAGAAATTAATATAGATAATATATGTGGTATGTCATATGGCTCAACATGCTGAGTACCGTTAGGGACACTGATGAAAGAGTGAATAACAAGGACTCCAACAATAGAGTATACAGTGAGGGCCCAATAAAACAGAGCAAGGGGACCTGTGATGGAGTGGTCGGTGAGGGTCCCAGTGAGCGAGCCTCTGGCGAGGGTACTGATAGAACGCACAGAGAGGGCCCTGTCTCTAATGCAGTGGCTGGTGAGTACATAGTGATAAATCAGATGACAAGGGTCCTAGCTGAAAGTAAAGCCAAAAGAGAACTGATGTACCTCGAGAGTCAAACCGTGAGAAACCAGATATCATAGGGAGATAAAGAGCAAGCATGGGGGGATAATATTGAAAATATTTCATAACTGGTCTTGCACAGGAACTGAGGAATAGGGATGGACACAGGCCATATTGGTGGAGCAAACTCCTGCAGCTGCTATGCTGTAGGAACTTGGAGGAGGAAAATGGTGTCTGAAGGTTTGCCTGGGCGAATGGGAGGCTGAAGCAGAATAAAAACAAAGCTTACAGAGTGAGAGGTTCTAGTCTGCCGACATCAAGGAGCCTTGTATATGGGGAGACTTCTCTGGATAGGCTGCTCACCGAGAAGGGCAGGAATTAATGATGAAGCAGCCCGTGAGAAGACAGGTGGTGAGCAAAGAGCAGAGTCTGTCTAATTGTCCTTTTAAACATAGTTTAAAATTAAATTGTACTTAATGTATTTATATCAGAATTTTATAGATTGTGTGAAAACAATTCAGCAAACACTGTACTTCACACAGTGAGCAAATTACCTTTTCTTCCATCTCATAATCTACTCCAAATATAGGACTGGCAGAATAGACTTTGTGAAGTGAATTGATTTCCTTAACTGATGCTTGTAGTTTTTCCACAGGATCTATTTTAAAGCCAAGAACATATCCTCCACTCTACAAGGAAAAATAATGAAAAAACAAGAAACAAGCCAGAGAAATGGTATTTAAGGCTATACATATGGATTTTAGCTCTAATTGTTCTTATTTCAGAGCATAATATGTAAGCTGATTTTTTTAAATAAAAATTTTATTATTAAAAACTTCAAACATAAACAAAAATAGAAAGAGTACAGTAAGCATCCTAGAAGCAATCATCCAGTTTACATCCAGTTTACTCTTCCATCTGTAACCACACCCTTCCCCAGATTTCCTCCCCTCACACACACAGGATTATTTTAAAGCCTATCCATATATCACATCATTTAATCTGTAAATATCAAACCTGATATTTCAAATTTAAAGATATACTGTAGATTGTGATGACCAAGGGAATAAGTTTTTATTGTGAAGACCTTGAAAAGAGATAAGGGAATGATCTACCTGAGGCTATCACCTTGAAAAATGAAAAATTCTGTAGCTGCCCTGGCCAGCATGGCTCTGTGGTTGAGTGTCAACCTATGAACCAAGAGATCACAGTTTAATTCCTGGTCAGGACACATGCCCGGGTCATGGGCTCAATCTCCAGTGTGGGGCATGCAGGAGGCAGCCAATCAATGATTCTCTCTCATACTTGATGTTTCTATCTCTCTCTCCCTCTCTGAAGTCAATAAAAAATATCATTAAAAAATTTACTAACTATTGTATATGATGCTGGGAAACTTTTATTCTTTTTAAGCTTCAAATTTTTAACCATAAAATGGTTAACAAGTTGTATTAAATAAAATAATGTAGCCGAAACTGGTTTGGCTCAGTGGATAGAGCGTCGGCCTGCGGATTGAAAGATCCCAGGTTCTATTCCGGTCAAGGGCATGTACATTGGTTGTGGGCACATCCCTAGTAGGGGGTGTGCAAGAGGCAGCTGATTGATGATTCTCTCTCATCGATGTTTCTAACTCTCTATCCCTCTCTCTTCCTTTCTATAAAAAAATCAATAAAATATATTAAAAAAATGTATAATGACATTTTGTACCATTCCTAGAACACAATAAGCACTCAGTAAATGGCAGCTTTGAATCAACAGGCCATGGGAAAGTAGACATTTATTTATATTTAAACTTAGAAATGAGAAGAGGAGTGATTTTACAAATAATAAATTTTTTAAAAATATATATATTTTATTGATTTTTTACAGAGAGGAAGGGAGAGAGATAGAGAGCTAGAAATGTCGATGAGAGAGAAACATCGACCAGCTGCCTTCTGCACCCCCCCCAACAGGGATGTGCCTGCAACCAATGTACATGCCCCTGACCGGAACCAAACCCGGGACCCCTCAGTCCGCAGACCGACGCTCTACCACTGAGCCAAACCGGCTTCGGCACAAATAATAAATTTTTATTTAAATATATTTCTTAAAAAATCTGTTATAATGGGGCACAGCAATTTATAATTAGATACAATATAATATTGAGAAAATAAAGTCTCAAATGTGTATGTATATCTGTATATATCTGTGTTTCTCAAACACAGTCTTGTGAATCAATCAGATCTGAATTGAAACCTACCCCTACCATTTACTAGTGAGAACATGGGCAAGGTTCCTAAATTCTCTAGGCCCCAGTTTCCTTGACTGTAAAACGAAAAAATAATAGTAACTGTATCATAGAGTTGTGTAAAGATTGAGATAATGCACAAAAAGTACAGTGACTTGACTCTGTCATTAAACATGATAATCATGATAGTAATGAGTATGTTTGTCCAACAAAGAAACATAACCAGGATTCTTTCTATGGGGACAATTACTCTTCATATAACTTCATGTTAGAGCTAAGATTCTTCTTGGATGTAAACTGGTTACAGTATAAATAAAACTAAAAGTAGACTCACATAGTTTAAAAAATCTATTGAAGATTAATAAAAATATTAAGTATCTTACCTGCTGAGAGCTTTCTATGACAAGAGCTAACCCAAATTTTGAATCTCTAATCTTTATTGAACGCTAGATGTAAAATGAAAAAGAAAAGAAAATGCTGTTTTTATTATCTGATAGTAGTGAATTTTTAGCATATTTTTTCAACTTTCACACAATAAACCATTTTTCATAGCCTAAATAAAATAATTATTTTTTCCTTCATTATACTCCCACAGAGATATAGTAAGATGGAAACTGGCAAGGATATATATAGGAATTGGGTCAGGGCAATGGCTGAGGTGTTAAATGAACTGAAGTTAGACTATGACTGCCTTAGTGACAGACTGTGATGATATCAGCTTGCAAGCTGTTTGGGCCTGGCTGAATTCATCAGGAAGGCATACTGGCAACTGTACTCTTAAAGAACAAGAAGTACCCTATTTGAAGAGCAGAAAGCACAGGTTACTAATATTTACTACTCATCAATTATTCAGCATTATAGAATTTAGGTTAGGTAAGTCAAAACACATGTAAATACAAGATAAAACAGCAATGAACACCAAAAGCACCAATTTATCAAATACCTATGTGGACTATGTCACATCTTCCCAGCCATGATTATAAATTCTTGTATTTTGTTAAATGGCCAGAAATAATTTTCTTCCCATCAGTATCTATGATTTTCTGTTTAACGTGTTGCTTTTCACCACCTGACAGAAAGCTCCTGAATGGCAGGAACTGTGAAGTTCTGGTTCATAATTTTTCTGATTTTATCTCTAGCATCTAGCACAGAGCAGCTTCTCAATATCAGGCAAATGGATGATTAGATATTTTAAAGTAACTCAGAAATCAAACAATTTAGCAAAAGATAGGCTTGGGAATATTTTCCAAAGAATCATCCTTCTCATAGGCCAAGAAGTCTCTTAAAAATGACATTTTCCAAATATACATACATTGTATCTAATCCATAAATATTTATTAATGAAACTGCTTAGTCTTAATACTATTCTTATATTACTACATTAAAGGCAATTATCATAGAATAACTTCATAGGATTTTCATTAAGTATTTTTATGTTCCATCTAATTTGCACTAGGTTGTATGTAAAATAAAATTCTCCAGTTTATTGTTTATTATTTGTTTCTCATAGCATCAACAGCAGAGTAAAAAGAACCACTTTTATTTTATTTTATTTTTTAATATATTTTATTGATTTTGTACAGAGAGGAAGGGAGAGAGATAGAAAGTTAGAAACATCGATGAGAGAGAGTCATCGATCAGCTGCCTCTTGCACACCTCCTACTGGGGATATGCCCGCAACCAAGGTACATGCCCTTGACCAGAATCGAACCCGGGACCCTTCAGTCCCCAAGCCGACGCTCTATCCATTGAGACAAACAGGTTTCGGCAAGAACCACTTTTATATTTTTCCAAAACAAATTGGTCTTAGATGTAGTTACTTCTTATTTTGGATTTTAACAGCTTCAACTTAAGCTAAAACCATTATCATCAAAAACCATATTGATGCCAGTACCGGTTTGGCTCAATGGATAGAGCGTCGGCTTGGGGACTGAAAGGTCCCGGGTTCGATTCCGATCAAGGGCATGTACCTTGGTTGCGGGCATATCCCCAGTGGGGGGTGTGCAAGAGGCAGCTGATCGATGACTCTCTCTCATGGATGTTTCTGACTCTCTCTCTCCCTTCCTCTCTGTACAAAATCAATAAAATATATTTAAAAAAAACAAAAAAAAAACCCATATTGATTTCTTTCACCAAAGCTGTATCAGAATACGATGTAAACAGTTCATTCAAAGAATGAACGATTTTATTCTGTCTTTAAAAGGGTTTGAACAGAATTCTCCCTCCAGGGAGCATTCCCATGCCCTTCCCTGTGCACCAGAAGGTTGCAGGTTTAATCCTCAGTCGGAGTGTAACTGATTGATGTTTCTCTCCTACATAGATGTTTTTCTCTCTCCCTCTCTCTGTCCCTTCCTTTCTCTAAATATATCCTTGGGTGAGGATTTAAAAAAATATATCCTTTTTGTTTGAGCAAAAAGTAGCAAGAAAGCCACAACTGGGTCTTTTCTATGTTGAAATAGTAAATTATCAACATTTAAAAGTATGCTCTCAGCTAAACTGTTGCCACTTAAAAAGGCAGAAAGATAACTCATCTAATTCCCAAAGTTCTCTTAACTGTTGAACAAAAATTAATTACTCTGCATTAAAATGAGGTAATCAAAATGCATCATGCACTTACAATTTGCAGATATGGTATACTGACGTTAAAACTGTCATTCATATTTGCATGCCACACAATTCTCACATTGGTAATAAAAAAGGTTCCCAAATTTCCCTATAAAGGAGAGTAATGAGAGATACATCAATGATAATTTGTTTGAATAGTTATTCTTTATTTTCTAAGCACCAGAATAATTCTAATAATCACTGCAACAGCAAATACCAGAACTGAGTACGGGTATTATGGAGTACAATTAGATTACTGAGAGCATGGCTCTGGAGTTAGATAATCATTATACCACCAGTACTTACCAGTTGTGTGACCCAGGGGCAAATATCTTCTTGGTGCATTGTATGAAATGTAAAATGAATACCTGATTAAATAACCCATGTAAATAAAGCCCATAGCACAGTGTCTGGCACACAGTAAGCATTGTCAAGTGTTAGATCTTCCACACTAACTACAAATCAAACTATAGTTACAGGCCCCTCAACATCTTTCAAAATTATCCCAATATGATAGACAAGTGCCCTAAAAAATCTGTAAGACCTAATAACATGGCACCAAAATTATCTCCCTCTATCATTTATCTATATTTTCCACTTCCTCCCCACCACATACATTAGAAAAATTTTCTTTGTTTTATACTTTGAGGTTGCACATAAAACATTAACTAACAAACCCAAAACTTAAAAAACCTTCTCCTGGAATGACCAAGTTTGGAACAGCAAAAAAGGTCACCTATTTCCCAATTATAATGAAATTAATAAGAACATATATAAGTACATATATTCCCCCTCTACTCTTACCTTGCAAAAGTTATCATACAAAAAATTTTAGTCACCATTATTCCCAGCCCAAGTCCCATTAAACAATACTAAATCTACCTTTAGAAGGAATAACTCTTTATAACATTGTTTTCTCTTATTTTAGAAAAAGAGAACTTATAAAATACCATAAAGACTTTTAAAAATAATAGAAGGGCATATTTTATTTATTATTTTTCAATAAACTTTAATTAGGTTGACAATAATATCCCTATTTTCAATAAAATGATATATCTGATCATTTTGGAACATCTTAATTAAAAATGCCAGCTGTTCTGCTAGGTGGTAAGGATCTAACTATGAATAGAGTAACTTCACTCCTACCCATATAAAGCCTACAATCTAATGGTGAGCACAGCTGTGGCAGCGGGGCCAGGTTGAGTGGCAGAAGAGCTACGCCAGGCCCTGGCTGGGACTCCTCCCCAGCCACCTGCCATTTTGGCACTGCTACATGCCCCAAGGGGTCCCACATTATGAGGGTGCAGGCCACGCTGAGGAACCCCACCCACGCATGAATCCGTGCACTGGGCCTCTAGTCTAAAATATTTACCATCTGGCCCTTTATAGAAAAAACTTTTCTGACTTCTGATGAAAAGGAGTTAGTCAGATAGGGAATGTATATATCCTATAGAACCTTCATCATAGTTTAAAACTAGAATTTTTCAAATAAGCAAAGTTTATTTATAATTTAAGTTTATGATTCAATGTTTATTTTAGCAAGATGCTCTTCATTAAAATATTATAGCTTTACCACATGTTGTCAGTGTTAGATTGTAACACATATAAAAGAAACTATTCTTAGAGACAAATTTTTCTCTAGAAATTAATGTTACTTATTCAAACTATTAGTTGCTTACATGTTTCAACTAGTAATAAATTTCAAGAGTAAATGAAAAGCTACAATAATGGATACAGGAGTCACCAAATGAATTATATATTTAATTCCATAAAGACCAGATTTAAAAACTTTTGTGATGTTCCAACCCTTAGCTCTCCTCCATTAGTACAGGTTATCAAGATGTGGAGTGCAGTGTAGTAGCTTAGGGATAGATCATGGCTCTGGGCTAAACTACAATAGTATGTGATGCCGAAACTTGTTTGGCTCAGTGGTAGAGCGTCGGTCTGCATATTGAAAAGTCCCAGGTTCGATTCCGGTCAAGGGCATGGACATTGGTTGTGGGCACATCCCCGGCTGGGGGTGTGCAAGAGGCAGCTGATCGGTTTCTCTCTCGTTGACGTTTCTAGCTCTCTATCCCTCTCCTCCTCCTCCCTGTAAAAAATCAATAAAATATATTAAAATAAATAAATAAATAAATAAATAAACAAACAAACTAGTATGTGAGGTCACTTGACTGTTAAAGGCCTGAATTTTTCATCTATAAGTGAATAGAGGCTAAACTAGAGATGATCTCTGAGGTCCATCCCAGCTCTAAATGCAATGTAGGACAAATGTTAAACAGAACAAAACCATAAAAATATGAAAATTATATTTTATATGAAGTTATGTTAATTTATCTAGAGGTATGATGCTAATTTTAACAATTAAATAAATATATAAACCTAATGATAAATGGAAAAATGATTACCAAGGCACAGATTTAAAAGATTCATTAGTTTTTTGTACAATACCTGATCACTGGATAAATTCCATACTCCATTGATTTTATCATATACATGTTCTTGTGGTAATAACCTTAGTTCCTTATTTTGAATTAGTGCACTTCTCAATTTAAAATCACGATACATTTTAGAAGTTTCATATGCTCTATAAAAGAGAACAAACAAAAGGCTAAACCAAACTGAAAATGCAATTTTCTTTGTTTATGTTAAAATATACCATTGTTAGTACTTATATACATCACTCAAGTAATTATCACAGTAAATAAAAATAAAAAATTCTTTTCAGCCGAAACTGGTTTGGCTCAATGGATAGAGCGTCAGCCTGAGGACTGAAGGGTCCCGGGTTTGATTCCGGTCAAGGGCATGTACCTTGGTTGCAGGCACTTCCCCAGTAGGGGGTGTGCAGGAGGTGGCTGATCGATGACTCTCTCTCATCGATGTTTCTAACTCTCTATCCCTCTACCTTCCTCTATGTAAATAAAAAATCAATAAAATATATTTTAAAAAATTCTTTTCAGTAAGTTTTGGTGATTAGTCTTTTGTAGACTGTCATTTTAGTGTAGCACTTACATATTTTATCTCAAAACTATTTTTTAGATGTCTAATTTTTAAGGCACTACATATTACACAGCACAATGAGAGGGCACAGATTTTCTCTCAAACCAAGAAACAATGCTTCTATATAATAGACATGAAAAAAAAAATTTTTCTATCAAAATACTTCCCTTCATTTGTTTTAGTCAAAGGCACCATTATTCTTTTTCTCACTACAACTTGAACAAATTATGCTCACATCTACCTCTACACAGAAAATTAGAATGAATCTGTACCAATTCCAAAAGAAGCCCTAGGACAAAGTCTAGGACAGTGTGTGAATAAAATATCTATAATTTTGTTTTCTTTCCATGTTTCTCTATTAATAAATAATAAATACAGAAGAAAATTCTTAACCTTTTAAAATTTTATTTTTCAATTACAATTTACATTTAATATTACTTCGTATCAGTCTCAAGTGTACAGCTTAGTGGTTAGATAATCACATACATTACAAAGTAATTCCCTGGCATGTCAAGTACCTACCTGGCACCATACATAGTTATTACAACACTAGTGGCCTGGTGCATGAAATCTGTGCACATTAAAAGGAGATTAGAGGAGATATTTTAATATTGCTATTTGCTCTTTCTCTATAATAGAAGTGTCAGAGATGAAAGAAAATTAGTAAAATGTATATGAAAATCTTCCTCTTGTCAGAGTCTGGGTGCACCATGAGACCCAGAGTCAAGTCCCTGCCCACCTGCACACGCCTTGAAATTGCATGAGATCCAGACCAGGCCGGCATCACCCCCATTAGGTGAGATCCAGTTCTGGCTGATTCCACCTCTGTCAAGCCCCACTGGGTTGGGGGTGTACCCTCAGGTCCCCTGGCACAATGCCATGGTGGGGGAAACGGCCTGAGGTTCCTCATCAAGCCCTGCTGGGCAGGGGGCACAGCAGGAGGTCTCCTGGTCAGGTGCCAGGGCGGGGTGTGTGGCCTGAGGTCCCCATGCCCAGCACCGGTGTGTGTGTGGGGAAGCATGCCTTGAGGTCCCCTATCAAGCCCTGCCAGGTGGGGGTTGCGGCCTCAGATCCCCCTCCCAGGCCCGGTGCCATGCAGCCTCAGGTCCCTGCTGATCACTCATTACAGCTTGTTATGGGAATGCTGCCTCTGCTGTGGGCACAGCCATCTTGTGTTATAGGAACCTCACCTCTGCTGTGGGCACAGCCATCTTGTGATGGTGTGAGGGTCAATTTGCATATTACCTCTTTATTATACAGGAATATTGACTATAATTCCCATGCTGTACTTTACATCCCCATGACTATTTTATAACTATCAATTTGTACTTCTTAATTCCATTGCCTTTTTCACCAATCCCCCAACTCTCCCCTCCCACTCCCCTGCAATCATTAGTCTGTTCTCTGTAGCTATGAGTCTGTTTCTATTTTCTTTGTTCATTTATTTATTCTTTAGCTTCCACACATAGTGAAAGCATACAGTATTTGTATTTGACTGATTTCACTTAGCATATCCTCTAGGCCCATCCATGTTGTCACAAATGGTTATGATTTTATTCTTTGGTAAAAAGAAATTCCATTTATTGATTTTAGAGAGGATGAGAAAGAGAGGAAAAGAGGGAGAGGGAGAGGGAGAGGGAGAGAAAGAGGAAGAGGGAGAGGGAGAGGGAGAGGGAGGGAGGGAGATAGATTTGTTTATTCTACTTATTTATGTATTCATTGGTTGATTCTTATATGTGCCCTGACTGGGGATTGGACCTGTAACGTTGGCATATTGGGATGACACTCTAACCAACTGAGCTATCTGACCAGGGCAGACTTCACTTTTTTTTATGGCTGAGTAATATTCCATTGTATATATGTACCACAACATTTTATTCACTGGTCTACTGATGGGCACTTGGGTTGCTTCATATCTTGGCTACTGTAAGAAAATTCTTAACTTTTGATTAATTAATTCTAATTTTACTCCACAAAAATATAGACTAATTTACCCATATAATGAAACTAAAAGGTTTTCTTAGCCTAAATAACTTTAGAAGTCATTCATATAAATTATAGTACTCAGTGATAATTTTTTCATTTTTACTCCAATTAACCTTCTAACATATAAATTGTGAAAGTAGGATACAAACATTTGCTTATAATCTTAATTTCCTTCAGTGTTGTAATTATCAATATTTAATCAGGGGATAAAATGGAAACTATTTATGTTGTAAATTATTTTTTGGGAAACACATAACATTTTTATAATATTAAAGAAAAGCAGCCGAAACCGGTTTGGCTCAGTGAATAGAGCAGTCAGTCTGCGGACTGAAAGGTCCCAGGTTTGATTCTGGTCAAGGGCATGTACATTGGTTGTGGGCACATCCCTGGTAGGGGGTGTGCAGGAGGCAGCTGGTCGATGTTTCTAGCTCTCTCTCTCTCTCCCTTTCTCTCTGTAAAAATATCAATAAAATATTTTTAAAAAAAGAAAAGAAAAAAAAAGCAGCTTCCATGTTCCTTTCAAACTTGATTTTACATTACTTCTCTAGGTAAAGTGAAATAAAAAGCTAAGGTTTAGCTATACACCGAAGAAAACTAAAATATGTTTTCATGCAAACTTACACACAAATATTCACAGCAGCATTATTCATAATAGACAAAAATGTCTATTAACTGATGAATAAACAAAATGTGTCCATACAATGGAGTATCATTCAGCTATAAAAATGAGTAAAATACTGATATATGCTACAGCATGATAGACCTTGAAAACAATATATAAAGTGAAAGAAGTCACACACAGCCCTGGCTGGTGCGGCTCAGTTGGTTGGGCATCGTCCCAGGCAGTGAAAGATTGCTGGTTCAATTCCAGGTGAGGCACAGGCCAGGGTTTTGGGCTCAATCCCCAAGTAGTGGGTGTGTAGAAGGGAGCTAATTAATGTTTAGGTCAGGCATAGGCCAGGGTTTTGGGCTCATCCCCAGTAGGAGTTGTGTAGGAGGAAGCTAATCAATGTTTCACTCTCACATTGATGTTTCTCTCTCTCCTTCTCCCTTCCTCTCCCTCTAAAAAAAAAAGAAAAAGAAAAAAGATGGGTCAATTGACTTATTAAAAAAAAAAAAGAAGCAGCAGCTGGCTCTGGCAGGGTAGCTTCCTTGCAAGTTTGATCCTTAGACGGGGCACATACAAGAATCAACCAATGAATGCATAAATAAGTGGAACAGCAAAACTCTCTCTCCCTCAAAATCAATAATTAAAATTAAAAAAAGAAGTCAGATATAAAAGATCACCATATTATATGATTCATTTTATATAATATCAAGAATAGGCAAATCCATAGAGACATTAAGTAAATCAGTGGTTGCTATGGCAGTTTCTTTTGGGGTGATGGAAATATTCTATAATTGGGCAGCAATGATATCTTGTGAATATACCAAAACTACCAAAGTGTAAACTTTAAAATACTACATTTTATGTTATGTGAATTATATATATATAAAACACACACACAAAACAAAACACTAAACCACTGTATAGATTTAAACAATCAACAAAATTAAAAACTAACAAACTAGGAAACTGTATAAGAAATACATTTGCAATATACAGTATATGGCTGATAGAGACATAATTAAGAAATTTACAATAAGAAGCTATAAATAACCCCCCCCCCAAAAAATTTCAGCATCACTAGTAATAAAAGAAGTACATGCAAATTAAAACAATGGTATGAATATATATTATATCTGTGTGTGCATGTGTGTATAAATTTGTATATATATATATTTTGCTGTCATCTTAGTCAAGCTTTTTAAAAAAATCATAGCACTTAGGACTGATTAAAAAAAAAAGAGCTCACTTAGGACTGATTAAAATATAATAATAAAAGAGCTTGTCCAGGCCAGTTTGGCTCAGTGGATAGAGCATCAGACTGCGGACGGAAGGGTCCTTGAGTTTGATTCCAGTCAGGGGCACATGTCCAAGTTGTGGGCTTGATCAATGGTTCTCTCATCATTGATGTTTCTATCTCTCCCTTCCCTTCCCTTTTTGAAATCAATAAAGAACATGAAATAAATGTTTAAGAATAAGTGATTTATTAAAAAAAAAAAAGGAACTGAGATGGTGAAAAAAGAATTCAGCAAACAAATAAAAAACCCAAAATAACCACAAAACAAAACAATAAAACTCCTTGGGGAAAACACCCAGACATATTTTCTACTATTAGAAAAATAATCCTTTTAAATCATTAATTAAATAACTTTGTTATTTACATTGAATGAATTTTCTATTCCCTTGTTACTATTTCAGTAGAAATTTTTTTAATGAATCTTCAATAGTCCTATGTGCTTTATAAATACCTTCAAAGTGTTTACTAAATGATAATACAATGTGTTCTTCTATATATCTTCAGGATATTTGCAATAGAGCTTGGAGGAAGATAGCACCACACTTCTAAACTTTAGTCTCTAAATCTTTATACCATAGAATTATTATAAAAATATTCAGTAATCCACAAAGTATTATCATACCTGTGTACTGCAATCACAGAAGTAAAAAGTCTAGGACTTCCAGGAATCAAATTTGTAAATATAAACTCAAAACGAGTACTGTTACATTTTGTTAGTATATAAAGGGCTTCAGTTTGGCCTCGTAATTTCTGTAAGGACAAATGTATTTAAAAGTTCAGATTTTAAAAGCAATTTCTCACAGTGAAAACAAAACCAACTTCAAATATCTCATGTTTCTTCTATATATATATTCGAGATATATATATATATATATATATTCGATATATTTCAATAAGGTTTTTCAGACTTACAGAGTTAGCAGTCCTTGTTGTAATAGTCAGTATGCAGTTGTAACCGATAGCTAAAATTCAAAAGCAAAAAATTTAAAGAATGTAATACAATAAATTGAGAGAAAAAAAATCTATACACAGAACTTTTAAGTTTTAAAAAATTAAATGTAAAAATATAGCTTTTAAACATTTTCATGAAACAACTACAAATTTAAGTTAAATAATGAAAAGAAATGGAAAGTCAATTCTGCCCCTTTGAACAAAGACATTCATAACATTGGACAAAGAAAATTTACTTCTCTAAAATGTACAGTATTGTTTACTGAAAATCTTAGCATCACTACATCAAGAAAAAATGTCTATGTGGATAATATAAAATAAGTGTGTGTGTGTTTTTGTTTGTTTGTTTGTTTGTTTTTTAATTTCAGAGAGAGACAGGGAGAGGGAGAAAGAGAAAGATCAATGATGAGAGAGAATCATTGATCACCTGCTTCCTGCATGCCTCCTTCTGGGCATCAAGCCTGTAACCTGCACATGTGCCCTTAATCGGAATCAGACCTGGGACCCTTCAGTCCACAGGCCAATGCTCCATCCACTGAGCCAAACCAGCTAGGGTCAAAATAGTTTTTTAAAGTAAGTTAAACAAAATTTAACACAGTAAAAGTATGTATCTTTCTCTTACAATTTAGATTTCCCTTTTTGGGGATTGCTTGAAACAGGTCATAGCAAGTTGTCAAAGATAAACAAAAGACAAACAAAATCATTCAATGTAAAAGTACTAATCTCCTATATGTCCAGGAGATAAACTGGACAGACTGAAAAACATTTCTTTTAAGTTATGCTGCACTTAGGGGCTAGTCAAGGATTTCTGAAACTTTTAGCAGTTTAAAGTTTTTGCCCTGGCCAAGTGGCTCAGTTGATTGGTGTGCTGGATTGGATTGTTGTCTTTTGGGTTCAATTCCTGGTCAGGGCACATAGATAGGTTGTGGGTTCGATCCCTGATTGGGGTGAGTATGGGAGGCAACCAATCAATGTTTCTTTCTTACACTGATGTTCTCTCTCTCTCTCTCTCTCTCTCTCTCTCTCTCTCTCTCTCTCTCTCTCTCTCTCTTCCCCTCTCCCCTCCCTCCCAGTTTCTCTCTCTAAAAGTCAATAAAAACATCCTTGGGCCTTAATCAGTTTGGCTCAGTGGATAGAGTGTTGGCCCTTGGATTAAAGGGTCCTGGATTCGATTCTGGCCAAGGGCATGTACCTTGGTTGAGAGCTCATCTCCAGTGGAGGGGTGTGTGTATAGGAGGCAACTATCAATGTTTCACTTTCACTGATGTTTCTAACTCTCTATCTCTCTCCCTTCCTCTCAGTAAAATCAATAAAATATATTTTAAAAACACACAAATATATCCTTGGGTTGAGGATAAATAAATAAGTAAATAAAGAAAGTTTTCCACATATTTTATAGTATAGTATTTTCGGAAGTAAAAGCCACTGTGCAAGTTCACTTGACAAAGTATTTTTTGTTGTTGTCTAGTGTTGTTATCTAATGAACATACTTACAAAGATTGACTCTTGAGAATGCCAAAGAGTGCCAGAGAATTCTTAAATTTGTTACTAAGAGTCTACCTAAAAGCAAAAAAAAAAAAAAAAAAATAGGTTACCTTAAGTAAGAGCTTATTTTTGCAATACAAAATAACATGAACATGAAACTAATGGCCCAGTATCAGCAGCTCCAAGGGGGGAAAAAAAAGTAAAGTAAACCTGAACATAGTAAACTATGTATCTTAGAGATTTATAATACAACTAGAGGCCCAGTACATGAAATTAGTGCACGAGGGGGTTTCCCCTCAGTCCAGCCTGCACCCTCTCCAATCTGGGACCCCTTAGGGGATGTTTGACAGCCGGTTTAGGCCCAGGGATTGAGCCTAAAATGGCAGTCGGACATCCCTCTCACAATCCTAGACTGCTGGCTCCTAATAGCTCACCTGCCTGCCTGCATGGTCATCCCTGTGCCCACCCCCCCGCCCCCAACCTGATTGCCCCTAACTGCCCCTGCTGCCGGTCAGGTCACCCTAACTGCTTCCTCTTTGCCGGCCTGGTCGCTCTTAACTGCCCCCCGCCCCCGGCCTAGTTGCCCCTCACTGCCCCCTGCCAGCCTAATCATTCCCAGCTGCCCCGCCCCCCACCAGCCTGGTCACCCCAATTGCACTCCTCTCTGACCCCCCACCCCTCCAGCCTAATTGCCCTCAACTGACCCCCCCTGCCGGCCTGGTTGCCCCCAACTGCACCTTGCTGCCAGCCTAGTTGCCCATCATGGCCCCCCTGCCAGCCTGGTTGCCCCACACTGCCTGCTTGTTCAGTCGTTTGGTCATCCCTCACTAACTCCCCTGCTGGCCTGGTTGTAGGCAGCTATCTTGTGAGGGTGTGATGGTCAATTTGAATATTACCTCTTTATTATATAGGATTAGCATATTATGATAGCATTGAGAAGCCCTAAAATAAAACTCTCTTAACTTTGTTTAACAACATTTTTTCAACAAATTATAATCATAGAAGTCTTCTATGAGTAATCTATAGCCAGGTCATACTCCTTCCTCCCTGAAAACCCCTAGAATATCTAAAATGAGACTAAACATGTATGAATGTTGGGGTGAGATGGGATAGGAGATTATAAAAATAAAGGAAGGTGTCCTCAAGAGAAGCTGCAGAACACTACATGGTATGCTTGACAAATGATAAGTAACCCAGCCTGGCTAGAGTGGAAGGTTCACACAAGATCATAGAAGAGAGAACATTGCATCTATCAGTCGGGGTCAAACAGAAAACAGATGGCACACTCAAATTAGAATAATTGAGGTTTCTATACAAAAGGATTTATTACAAAGGTGGGTTGTCAGGAACCGTAAGTGAATATAGTAAATCTATACCACCCAGGCCAAGAGGGACAAGGATAGGGAGCAATTAACCAAATGAAGGAACAAGGTCTTAAAGAGCCAAATGTGTTCAGATGAAAGAATGTGGGGAATAAACACCCAGACTGCACTCTCCTGCCTCCTTTGATCTTCTGCCTTGGTTTTTCCAACCAAAAGCTAGAGTGTACAAGACCTTTGATGTAGTCTGTACAGTTTCTCGGGAGAAAGGAGAAAGGGTGGAGAAGGTGCTGAGTCTGGAGGGACAAATGGACGACAGTAGCGCATGCAAAAATGATTGTTTGTGGTCAAAGAGTTTGCCTTATAAAATCACTGACCAACTCTGATCATCTGTTTTTCTGTTCTTGGTACATCTCCGACAAGTCTCCAGCATTCTTATGTTGCCTTTGTCCTGCTAAAGGACCCCATCGTACAAATCCAAACCCAGTATTCCAAGCATAGACTTTTCCTGTCTTCCCAAACACCAAAATATAATTCTCCGTTTTTCTTAATCTTCCAAACACTGAAATATGGCTGTTTCATTCTCATTTAGCGTCAGTGTGAAAAAGCTAATCTGGTAATTCCATATCAGAGTATTTACAGTTGAAGTGGATTAAATGTGCTAATCTTTTGGGATATTTATAGTTTTAACATGGGGCTTCTGAACTTGAGAGTGACTTAGATGTGTTATTTTCACACTTCTGGAAAGGAGGGGGAAGAGATAGCTAGAAGACAGGATTCTTTCTCCCTCCCCCCTTTTTAAAAATCCTCACACAGACCAAAACCAGTTTAGCTCAGTGGACAGAGCATCGGTCTGCAGACTGAGGGGGTCCCAGATTTGATTCCGATCAAGGGCAAGTACATTGGTTGCAGGCACATCCCCAGTAGGGGGTGTGCAGAAGGCAGCTGGTCGATGTTTCTCTCTCATTGATGTTTCTAAGCTCTCTATCCCTCTCCCTTCCTCTCTGTAAAAAATCAATAAAATTTATATTTTTAAAAATCCTCATACAAAAATGTTTTTTTAAAAATTGATTTTACAGAAGAGGGAGGAGGAGAGAGAGAGAAACATCAATGTGATAAACATTAATTGGTTGCCTCCTGTACTTGCTCCAACCAGGGATAAAACCTGAAACCTAGATATGTGTCCTGACCTGGTATCAAACCCTCATCCTCTTGGTGTACAGGATGATGCTCCAACAGCTGGAGTCACCTGGCCATGGTCCATTTTTCTTACTTTCTTATTAGCCAGAAGCTCTGTACACTCCTGTAAAATTCCATTTTCTGAGCAACTGTTTCTGAGGTGTGTTATTTTTATTAACAGTAAGGTTTCTGGCCAGGAAATGTTTTTCTTCCCTCCTTCACAGTGCTAGTATAGGGTACTGCACTCAGTGAGTACACTTAGTCTTTGCCTGGACCAGTGGGTGGAATGTCACATAAGAACTCCTGCCAATCTGTATGAGACCAAAACTTTCTCTTGGCTTCCTTAAGTTAATTCAGGTTTGTTTTTTGTTTTTTTTCCAAGATATGACCATCTAGAGATTATTATTCCATCCCCAAAGGCACACACTAAGACTTCTTGTTTGCTATCAGGTGTTGATACCTCATGCTCACCTGGTCTTGGCGTATACTAGGAAGCATTTCAGAAATGTGATCTAAGCGTTTCTTTAATGATGGGCTCTAGCTTTTGACAGTATCCACCTGTAGCTGGTGATGATGCTAGGTTCTCCTCACAGAAAAGAAAGGTTCAGAGAGGAATCAGCCACTCAAATGCTGCAATGAGTATGTTATAGCAGTAATGGTTACTGTTCTAGCTCTAGGATTTACTGATCCTTCTTACTTGAATGAGATCTGCTCCTTTTCCTCACTTTTTCTCTTCAATAAGAGGGTTATATCCCACCCTAATAAACCTCCTCTCCTCACAAACATCTTTTTAGATACACTAAGCTGCCCACTCCTTATTTCCTATGTTTTATCTTGAATAACAGTAATATGCATCTACCACCTCTGACCACTGGTCACTGGCTCCCCACAGCTGCTTGGGAAAATCTGTTTTGAGAGGGACTCTAGAGCCCAGGCCTGTTGCTCCTCGGCGACATGCACAGACGTCTCACACAGTATTTTCTGATTATAACTTATAACTAGACTTCACAATACAGAACTGAATTTGCTCTCCACATGTCGATCTCTGGGTGTCAGTCAGGGGATTGTGCATTACTCTTGGATTTCTCTTTTCTTTTTAAAACACATTTTATTGATTTTTTACAGAGAGAAAGGTAGAGAGATAGTAAGAAACATCGATGAGGGAGAGACATTGATCAGCTACCTCCTGCACAGCCCCACTGGGGATGTGTCCAAAACCAAGGTATATGCCCTTAACCGGAATCGAACCCTTTCAATTCGAAGGCCGACGCTCTATCCACTGAGCCAAACCGGTTTCAGTACTCTTGGATTTCTTAAAAGGAAGCGAAGTTCATGAAGCATAGCTATGGCTTATTTATGTTCCAATACCCACTATTCTTTTCTTGGGAGAGGCAGATCCAAAAGTCAGAACTATCACATGACCCTTGTAAACAAAGCTCCTGGACTTTTAACAGCTACATTGGATAAAGCTGATGTCAGAATCAGGGCTTACCGAAGGACCAGAGACCTGAGGGAAGAAGCTGTATTCCCTGGCTACAGGTTTAATACCTACCCTTTCTTCCATTTCAGCCTGAGGAAAGTCTTAGTGGATTTAATGCTATCACTCTCAGAATTACATATAGTGCTCTTCATATCTTATTCTCCACCTAATATAAACCAGAAATATAAAATGTATTAGATAATATACTTACCTCTCTCCCCATTATTTCCTTTGGTGTCTTCAATTGAATCTAAACAATCAATAAGGACTTCTCCAGGTCTTGTTTTCATTTGTCTAAAATAAATATAAGTACTTCAATTTTAAATAGGGTTCCCCGCTTTAAGCTATAATACACCCGCTTAAATCTAGGTAGGGAGAAAAATGACATATACCTATAAAACAGCCAAGAGTATAAAGTATCAAATGCTCATGCATTGAAAATAAGGTGTTCAAAAACTCCAAGAACCTGGTGATAAGTGACTGGAATGACCAGCACATATACAGCAGCCAGAACTAGAAGGAGAAGTAGGACTTGGAGGGGAAGGAAAGGGGGGAGAGAGTTGGGAGAGAGGCACAGGAATAAGAAATGATAAAGGAATGTGAAGAAACTGGCCTGGCTGGAGAAGAAGGTCTATACTGAGAGGTAGTGAGAAATATAGCTAGGTTAGAAAGTAAGGACTAGATTACGGAGAACCTGAGAACCATAAATACTAGTCAGATAGAAATGGGCCTTAACCTGTGGACAGTGGAGAACCCACCAGAGGTTTCTGAATAGAGGAAAGTATGGAAGCAAAGCAAAGCATCATCAAGACTTCGTAAACAATTAGAAACAGGAGACAAAAGAAAGTAATGAAGAATAGTTTGCTGATACAATGCATCCAGTCTATCAAAAAATACAACAACAAAAAAACAGAATATGTAGGAGAGTCTTCTAACACATTCTCCATAGAACCAACTCAATTTCTTATTGAAAATACAGATATGGTCATGTCACTTCCCTGCTCCAGTCTTCCATGGCACCCAGCTGCCTGAAAAATGAAGTCCAAAATCTCCAGTTGAACATTTCACAATCTGACTAATCTATTTTTTCATTTGTACCTCTCTCCACCCTCTACCTACCAGACATTGTCTTCTCACCAATGAAGTTTATATTTCCAAGACTCTGCCTTCCCCTCCCCCCCCCCCCCCGCCCCCTTTCTGGAATACTTTCCTCCTTGTTTCCTTGACTAGGCTCTAACCATTTTTCAGAGCTCAATTCAAATATTATTTATTTTTTGAGGCCTTCCCGAGGCAGAATCAACTGTTCTGTTTCTACGGTTCCCCAACTTTTTGTTCATGTTTTTTGAATAGTGTTTATCACATTTTAAAAAACAGTTATCAATGTATATCTCTTGTACTAGCATGGGTGTAGGGAAGGGAGATAAATAATTTCCTATTATTTTGTATCTCTAGCTATTAGCACAATAACCAGAACATAGCAAGCATCTGTTAACTGTTTAATAACTAAAACTATTTATGAAATGGATGTTTTCTTGGATCAAGAATCCCCCAAGCCCTAACCGGTTTGGCTCAGTGGATAAAGCGTCAGCCTGGGGTTTGATTCCGGTCAAGAGCATGTACCTTGGTTGCAGGCACATCCCCAGTAGTGTGCGTGCAGAAGGCAGCTGATTGATGTTTCTCTCTCATCGAAGTTTCTAATTCTTTCTCCCTCTCCCTTCCTCTCTGTAAAAAGTCAATAAAAATGTTTTTTAAAAAAGAATCCCACAATAACAGGAAAAAAATCATAGCGTGTAATCTGTAACTATAGTTTATAATTTCATACATTCTCTTCCTTTTTAACTCTTTAAATTTTTTTTTTTATTGATTTCAGAGAGGAAGGGAGGGGAAGAGGAAGAGAGAGAAACATCAATGATGAGAATCATTGATCAGCTGCCTGCCCCTAGTGGGGATGAGCCCGCAAGCTGGGCATGTGCTCTTGACCAAGAATCGAACCTGGGTCCCCTCAGTCTACAGGCTGATGTTCTATCCAGTGAGTCAAACCAGCTAGGGCTCTTTAAAAGTTCTAAGAACATAGTAGTATTATATATTTAGTCACGAGTAAGTCTTGAAAGTTAACATTTCACTTTCCCACCTATTAGTAATTGGGTTCTGTTCATGATAAAGAATCATAGGTGGCGAATAAGTCGCACGTCATTATCCCAAGAACATTGGCTTTACTGTTTCCCAACATTTAATATGCAAATGGGCATTTTCCCCCCTGGACTTTTGGCCAACAGATTTCTAACTCTTCTCTCTTTAAAGCATGAGATCTTTAAAAAAGCTTCTGTCTGAGGGGCTCCAAAAGGGGCTCCTTCTTCTATTGGTTGGATGAATAATCAGACGGAGGCTTACCACTAACTAGTCTGCGTGGTTAGGAGTTTTGGAGGATGCTTACTCCCACCTCCTCCATTTTACTGACAGAAGACTCCAGCACTGCACGGCAGGCGTTTAGCTAAGGGTTCACAATGTGTGCCGTTATTCTAGGCCTAGTTTTAGAAGCCCCGTTTCCTGCGTGCACACCACACGAGACTGCCACCCCGCGCTCGCGTGGGCGTCCTGGGCGCCCAGGTCCTGCGTGGTCCCCGCGGGGTTTGGGCTTAGCCCCCATGGGTCCCCGGGCCGGGATCGCGCGGGCCCGAACCCGTGCAGTTCAGACGCGTTTGGCTGTGACGCCGGCCTCGGCGGCGCCGCAGTGTCCGGCCAATCTAGGGTTCCCCGCGGTGCCCACACAGGCTCAACCCCACTGGCAACCCTCGCCCGGGCCGCCGCTGTGGGGTGCAGGCTCCGCCCGCCGGTCCGGAGCGCGCCGCGGCGCCCCCTAGGGGCTCGTGGCGGCTGTGGAATATCCGGGACTCACTTCAAGGGCGCGTCGAAGCGGACGTCCCGGTCCTCCCAGAGCGCGTCCAGCACCGACATGCTGACCCAGGCCCGCGGCGGGCCCTCTCCACGGAGGTGGAGGCCGAGCGGCGCCTCCCGGCTCCCAGGCAACGGGACGCCTCTGTCGCTACGTCTACGGCGCGCCCCGAGGGCCAAGCTTCGCCGAGGCGGGCGCGCGCGTTCCCGGCCCCGTCGCGTCATTAAGCGGATTGGAGGCTCCAGGCAGGGTTCAGAGGCTCAGATTATAACGGAGCTGGTCCCTGGCCCAGGAGAGTGTGCTTGACCTCTGAATGGCCGTCCTCGCTTCCCAACACACATGCTTAGGCATTCCACCTCCCCCCCGTTTCTCTACACTGCCCAAAAATTTAGACTTAAACATTTAAATTCCCTTCCTGGCCCCTCTGGGATCTGGCCCTCCCAACCTCTTGGACCTCATGCCACTTTCTCTCCTTTTGCCCACCCTCCAGCCTTTGGAGGGCCCCTTTTCCGCCAGGAACTCTGTTTCCTCAGATCTGAGCGTGGCCCACCCTTTGTCGCCTAAGTCTCAGCTCAAATGTCCACTGAGGGCTCCCGATCCTTCCTCCATTCTATGTGAGCATCCTGAGGACCCGGCCTGATCTTTGAACATTGCCTACCCCTAGCCCAATGCAGGCACTTAATAAATACTTTTAAAATAAATCAATGTGTTTTCCTTCCCTCAATTCATAATAGTTTTTCTTTTCTTTTTTTTTCTTCGAGTTTAGACATTTAATTATGCATATTCCTCTTACATGAATTCCAAAGAATGGTACATGAGCCTATTTTCCCACCCTAGGTTTCTCTCCCCTATCTTGCTCACTTGCTTTTAAAAAATATTTTTAAAAAACAAAATTTTAATTAAAAAAATATTTCCATCGATTTCAGAGAGGAAGGGAGAGGGAGAGAGAGAATATCAGTGATGGGAGAGAATCACCGATTGGCTGCCCCACAAGGGCGATTGAACCCGCAACCTGGGAACATGCTTTTGCAGGAATCGAACTGTGACCTGGTTCATAGATTGCCACTCAACCAATGAGCCATGCCCGCAGGGCCTATCTGTTTTTCTGATCCATGAAGGGTTAAATCCAACATTAGCCCAAATGGATGTCAGAACTGTTATATCCCAGTGACTCGTTTTTATCTTTCATTTTCCCCCCTTTTAATGTTTTAAAAAAATTTTATTTTTGAGAGAGAGGAAAAGAGAGGAAGAGAAAGAGAAAGAGAGGGAGAATGAGACATCTATTTGTTGTTCCACTTATTTATGCATTCGTTGATTGATTCTTGTTTATGCCCTGATCAGGAATCAAACCCACGACCTTGGCATATAGGTATTATGGAGGGTGGGGTGAAGTTGGAGTGGGTGGAGTCTATGCAAGTGTTTCTCTAGAACAATAGTGACATCTGGTGGCAAATTCTTGTACTAGACTACATTGAACGGTGGGTGTGGATTCCCTAATTGAAGGCAAAAAGTACTATTAATCATTAATCAGATCCGATTAAATAAGAATTTACTGAGTACCTACTATGCACTGGAACTATGCTAGTACTTTCATAGATATTATTTCTTTATATTATTTTATATTTCCTCCACATGACCAGGCACTAAATTAATTCTGCATGTACTAATGTCATAGAGAAGCTATGGCATCCAAACCCCTAAAATTGTATGCAAAATGTGTGTGTGTGTGTGTGTGTGTGTGTGTGTGTGTGTGTGTCTGTCTGTCTTTAGGAAAATGGGCCCTTAGCTTTTGTAATATGCTCACATGGGTTCCCTGCTCCCATGACACTTGACATTGCTACCTAACTGTATGTTTCTAACAAGGCCACTATGATATATTTTGGACTAGCTTCATCAATCTCTTTTTCTTTGGAAGTTGCTATTTCTTCTGGCAAACCACATTTACCTTAGGTTAAAAAAAACTTTAAATGATTTAAGTGAAAAAAGGAAATAAAGGTAAACAACGCCAAAAGGCAAGACGAATACAGTTAGGTAGCATTGTAACATTGCACAGTGGAGAGAACACTGGAATATCAGTAAGTCCAAATCCATTACTTCTGCCCATCTGAGCTTAGTCAAGTTAGATGACCTTTGGGTCTCAGTTTCCTCATCTGAGAAATGGAAATACTGATATCAGAGAATTGTTATAAGAATTGAGTAATGGTGATGAGTTTTTAGATACAACCAAAAGTGCTATCTATAAAAGAAAAAAAGTGATAAGTTGAACTTTATTGAAGTTAAGAGCTCCTGCTATGTAAAAGAGACCATTAAGAGAATAAAAAGACAAGCCACAGACTGAGAAAATATCTGCAAAAATCATGTCTGAAAAAGGATTTGTATTTAAAATGTTGAGAATCCACTGAGAAAAGATATGCTTATAAATTTAATAATGATAATTTATTATACAAATTTTATTTATAGAATTTATGTTTTTCTTAATTATAAGATGATATATACAATCACCATGGAAAACAGAAAAATTAGAGAAAAATATCCAACTCATCCCATTAATATTTGCTAACATTTTAATATATTTTTTCATTTTGATACCATTAGTTGGCTGATGTTTAAAGTTATCCTGTTTCTTCAACCTCAGGGGGCTTTGATTTCTACCAAGAAGGAGGGCCCCTTTCCCAACACTGAGGTGTAGAATGTCAAATCCTGGTCCATAAGATGATATCAGCCAAGCTCTGTAGCCACATCTGGATCAGGGTTAGAAAGAGAAGGCGGATACACTCATCTGGAGTGTGCTTTTTGGCCTCTATTGCCTCTGAACATATCTTGTTTGTGTTTGGGTGTGTGCACATCTACAAGTGAGAGTGAGTGAGTGTGCAGGCACATACACTAGTAAAGAAAGAGGGCTGAGAGTCCATGGCTGAGGCTTAGTGATTGCTCTGATGACTGCCTACTAGCCAGAATGGCTCTGAGAAGCCGTTAGCTGGGGCTTTTGCCATATCTTTAGAACATTTTTATTGAAATATTACATAAACATAGAAAATGTGCAAATCATAAGTATACAACTAGAATTTTCAATCTGAATGTACCCTGATCAAGAAGTATTACCTGTATCCCAGAAACTCACTTCCTTCCAGTGAGTACCTACCCCATTGAGTGACTTGTCTTTTAATACCATTGATTATTTTTGTTTGCTAAACAGACTTTTTCTTTCTCTAACGGGCTTGTAAAGGGAATCACTGTACCTTCAAGAGAGCTCAGAAAAGAGTAGAGTGGCAGTTGATGTAAATAACATGGTACCAGAGTTCCACTAAGGAGACTAGGCCTGCGGACTGATGTGGAAAGGCACCATTACAGCTGTGGCTTTTGGTATTGCAGCTTGGTCTCTTGGATTTGTTGGGATGTCACATGACCTCTGATTGAAGTCCTGTCCAATCCATGCCTGATCTACTGCTTTCTTTTATTATTTATTATTTTAAAAGCTTTATTTATTGATTTTGTGTGTGTGTGTGTGTGTGTGTGTGTGTGTGTGTGTGAGAGAGAGAGAGAGAGAGAGAGAGAGAGAGAGAGAGAGTGAGAGAGAGAGAGAGAGAGAGAGAGAGAGAAACATCAATTTGTTGTTCCACTTATTTATGCATTCATTGGTTGATTCTTGTATGTGCCCTGACGGGGATGTAACCTGCAACCCTGGCATATTGGGACAATGCTTTAACCAACTAAGCTACCCAGCCAGGGCCCTGATCTATTGCTTTAAATCTTGCCCATACAAAAACTGATCAGTTGCTTTAATTCACATCCTGCCAGACAGAATTAATCTCCATAGCCTGCTCCTTGTCCCAATCCTTGTCTGCTTGATGACTGCTAAGTTGTTCCCTGCCCTGATCCTGTCCACTATGACCTTAACTAGGCACTATTGTTCCTTATTTGTAGCAAGACTTTAGAAAACTAGAGAATAAATATAAGAAGGAAGAGTCAAAGAATTGAAAAGGATAGGAATTCATAGGCGTGTTTCTTTTTGCTTTTGATAATTTTTAAGAGATGGAACTTCCCAGTTACCTTGTCTAGACTAGAGCAAAGACCAAATCAGGGAAGTCAAACTATGTCTCAAACTTTGTATTAGTCTATTTTTAAGATAATATACTAACTCATCACACATAAATCAGAGTCAAAAGTTCCATATACATTCTTATTAGAAGTTATTTATCTGTTCTCTGCACAGTTTTAATTTTTTCACATGTTCTGCACATCTCCCTTGTTGCTGGTTGGAAATCTTTAAAACAGCCTAGAATGCTGTTTTGGGACAGTCAATGTTAGGAGGAGTCTTTGAGGATTTTGTAGGTTTTATGTGTAATGTACAACCTAATGAGTTGCAGGGAGTTGAAGACACACATAGGGTGAGTGTGATTTACAACATCCTTTATAATTTAGAATATAGGAGGTGGCGTTGGAAGAGACCTTAGAGGTTAAAGAGATCAATCTCCTACTCAGTGAAGTAATCCCTTTGGCAATAACTGTGATAGATGGGTTTTTAACATCTGCTTGAAAATTTTCAATAATTTCCAGTGATGGGAAACTCACTGCTTATCTAGGTAGGTCATTCTATTTATTCCCAGTTTGGATGATCATAACACTCTATAATAATTTGAGGTCTGCCTTTTTGCGATTACTTTCCAGGGAACCCAATTCTTTCCTTAGGAGTAATACAGATAAGACTTAATAAACTATTGGCCAAATTTTCATATACACTAAGAAAGTTACCATGTTATTTCTCTCTTCTCCAGCTAAAAAACTCAATTCTTTTCATCATTCCCTAACTAGCCCAATCTCCTTCCTCTAGTGTTAATTTTTATCAATGTCTCAAGAGGACACTAGACATCTAAAGTATTTTAATTGTATGAAGTCTAATCAATTTTTTTTCTTTTATAGATTGAGTTTTTAGTGTCATGTCCAAGAAGTTTGCCTAACTTCAGATCACACATCTCTTTATATATATATTTGGGGTGGGCATTGCTTAGTTTTATGCTTTACAATTAGATCTACAACCCATTTTGAGTTCATCTTGTAACATAGTTCAACGTATGGGTTGGAGAGTTTTTGTTTGTTTTGCATCATTTGTTGAACAAACAAACAAACATAAAATTACAAAAAAACAACTATTTTTTCTTCCAAGAAATT